ATATATATATATTTATATACATATATTTTAAACAAATGAACCGGTATGTGTAGTATGTATCGATAACATGCAATTTAGGTAGAAAAATTCAACTTAGTGGTTTAAGATTTTTTGGAAATGATAGCCAAACTTGTTGTAATTAATCAACAGTAGTAGGTGAAAGAGAGAAGAGCGCAACTATCCAGTTTATTTATGCTACCGCACCGATTTTTCCCGTATGATTTTTATTTCATTTTATGTCAAAAGTGCGAATTTGTGAAGTTTTTCTTCAAAGATTGACGATGGCATTATCAGTTACACTGAATTGCCGAATTTTGCAAATAAATACCATTCTATTATTTCTCATCCAAAAATCGACCAATTCAATTTTAACCAAAATTAAATCAATTATTTGTTATTTCAAAAATTAGCTGTATCATTTCTTTTCTTTTTTTTTTTTTAATTGCTTATTTATTTTTTTTTTCTATCATTTAAATTAAATAATTTTAGCAAATTGGTTGTAATTGAATAATCGTATTTTAGGTTAATTTTTTTCTTTAATACTAAAATGTGATATTATTATTATTATTATTATTATTATTATTGTTTCATTTAAATTAAATAATTAACAAATTGATTGTTAATAATCGTATTTTAGGTTGATTACTTTCTTTGATACTGAAATATAATTATTAGTTTTAATTATTTGTTTTCATTAATAATTTAGCAACGATCAATTTATATTTTGCTATTTAACGAGTAATTTCTTTAATTCATTCTTTCAATTTCTATTTCTCTAATTTGTTCTAATTAGTTTATATAATTCAATATTTATGCTATTTATATTATTTATACTAATCAAATTAAATTCTAAAAATTTTAATAATAAGAATTTAATTGATAAATTTAACCTGTTACTAAATAATTTCTAAATACTCGTATATTCGTGAAATATTATTGCATTATTTTTTTTGATTTTTATCATAAATACATTAAAATGGAAGGAAGAGTAGCACACCTTTAATTAATCATCTTTAATTAATTGATGATATATTACAACTATTGCAAAAATTTTGAAAAACTGAAAATTATGATTAGAGAATTGTAATATGTAAATTATTTAAACAAAGCATTCTGAATAAAAGTATTGCTTTGAAATAAAATAGAATAATAGCGTACCTTTAATTAATCATCTTTAATTAATTAATGATATATTGCAATTATTTCAAAAATTTTAGAAAATTGAAAACATTATCGGGATGAATTTTATCATCAATTTTCGTCTTAACAATATTTACCTGTTAGGTTTAAATTTTTCAAAAAGAAAAAGATTGAAATTCCATAAGAGCAAATGTAATTTAATCGTTGTGTAATTCCTCAAAATTCGTTTTATCGACTGATTACTTAATTAATGAATGGAATTTTTAAATCAAAAAGTTTTTATCTTTTCTTCCTTAATTGTGTCCTATTTATTTATCAAATTAAAAATATAAACAAAACAAAAAAAAACTGCTGAATTTTAATTTACGAATTAAAATATATGCAAAAATAAGTTATCCTAAAATTCTCTCCTCTCAAATCGTTTAATAATTTCATTTTGTTTTAAATTATATTCCTATTAATTTTACAGTATATTTTATTTTTCTTTTTTCTCTTTGAACTATTTAAAATAATACGAATTTTTGATATATATATATATATATATATATTGATAGAAATCTCAGTATATATATATATATATATACTGAGATTTCAATCAATAAGTTCATCAGTTTCAGAATTTTGATGATATGGAAATTTCAATCAATAACTTTTTATCAGTTTCAGAATTTTGTTGATACTGAGACTTCAATCAATAATTTTTCATTAGTTCTTTAGAATTCCTTGATGATATTGATATTTCAATCAATAAGTTCAATCAGTTTCAGAGTTTGACGATATTGAGATTTCAATCAATAGGTTTAATCAGTTCCAAAATTTTGATGATATTAAGATTTCAATCAATAAATTTTTATTAGGTTTAATCAGTTCCAAAATTTTGATGACATTAAGATTTCAATCAATAAATTTTTATTAGTTCCAGAATTTTGATAATATTGAGATTTCAATCAATAAATTTAATCAGTTTCAAAGTTTTGATGATATTGAGATTTTGATCAATAAATTTTTATCAGTTCCAGAGTTTTGATATTATTAAGATTTCAATTAATAAATTTAGTAAAGTTTCAAAATTTTCTAATTATTCAAACAATTTTATAATCATATAATTATTCAAATTTCCTCTCTTTAAAAAACAATGCGCTTCAAAATTATTCTCCAAATTTTGTTGCAAATTTTAGCATTTTTATTTTAAATTTTAAAATTAATTGTCTAACTGTTTATCATTTATTCCAATAAATTATCACTAGAGTGATAAATAAATCTTGATAAATAATTATGATAAGCTTTTATCAGTGCTGTAAAAAATAATTCATCCTAATAAGATCATAACGAACGATAGTAAAATCAGAAATATTGAAACTTAAGATTCGGAAAAAAAAACTAGTTAATGAGAGAAAACTTTTTGCAGTACATTCTTTCTTCTTAAATTAATTGATGAGAATTAAGAGAGGTACGTTATTTCTGAAACGTTTCCATCACCTGAAATTAGAAGCAAAAAACAAAAACGAAATAATAAATGATCGCATAGGTTATCAGTAACAGGATTGATAACAAAAAAGTGATAATTAATCTATACAATGTTATTCTATTATGTGTTGAAAGAAGAATGAGATTGGAAAAAAGCTTGTAATGATCAAAGAAAAAGATGAAAAATGGAAGTCAACTTTTGTTTTTTATATTTAATTATTTTATATTATTAATTAATTACTGTTTTTTCCTTCCTCTTTTGTTTTTAATAAATCAACAATGACTTATTTTTGAACATAAATTAAACACATACTAATTATTATTACTTTGATGATGCAATTAATGAACAATTAATATGTGTGACTTCGAAACTTATGATAATGTTGGTATTGGTCATATGATATTGACCAGCGATCAATTATTGGTCAGTCTTATACAAATATCGAATAATTAATGATTAATCTTGAGAAGATACAAATTAAGCACATAATTGTTATTGTTATTTGATGTAGCAATTAATGAATACGTTAATATGTGTGGCTTTAACTTACGATAATGTTACCATTGACCATATGATATTGACCAGCGGTCATCTATAATACTACTGATCAACTTTATATTTTCAATGATACTACTGTTCAACTTTATGCACCTCAAATATTAATGATTAATCTTGAAAAGATAAATCAAAATTTTTATAAATTTTTCCTTAAAAAAATTAGAGCCAAAAATGGTATTAAAGAATTGTTAATATAAGCAAATGTATTTAACTATTGAAAATGAATAGTATTCAAGAAGGATAGACAATAGAATTTATGAATACTTGAAAAAATAAAACTTATGAAAATTTAATAATTATTTTATTTTCATCTTTACCTATTATTTCTCACTGATCATTTGATAATGAGATTTTAATTTTCTTTTCTATCCTTTCTTTTATTTGATGATGAAATTTCAACCTTTTTTTTCCACATTATTTCAAATGCAACTTTCAACTTTTCTTTAAATGTAATTTTAAACCTTTCTTCAAACGCAACTTTCAACCTTTCTTCAAATGCAACTTTCAACTTTTCTTCAAATGCAACTTTCAACTTTTCTTCAAATGCAACTTTCGACTTTTCTTCAAATGCAACTTTCAACTTTTCTTCAAATGCAACTTTCAACTTTTTTTCAAATGTGGCTTTCAACTTTACTTCAAATGCAACTTTAAACCTTTCTTCAAACGTAACTCCCAACTTTTCTTCAAATGTAGCCTTCAATTTTACTTCAAATGCAACTTTCAACTTTTCTTCAAACACAACTTTTTTCCACATTAGTTGAAATGTAACTTTCAACTTTACCTCTAATGCAAACTTTCAACTTTTCTTCAAATGCAACTTTCAACTTTTCTGCGAAGCAACTTTTGTTAATTTTTATTGTTGCAATTTCTTAATATTCATTTCATCGCAACTTCTTTTTTTGTGTGTATTTTTTTGTTTTAATTTTTTTCACAATAAAGAAAGAGTCTGTCAAAAATAATTTACATCCATTTCAAATATCTTTCTAACTTTTTTTAATTGTTAAAAAAAAAGAGCAATGTGACACGGCGCAAAATGTTTATGTTACATTTAGCAAATGAGCAAAAATGAGCTGATATTATCGGCGATACTGTCGTAATTTTTTTCAATATTTATAATTGTTGCAATTTTTTGCCTATCATATATTTTGCTATTTGATAGCATTTCTTTTTTTTCTTTTAATATTTTAAATATTTTAAAGTAAACTTTTCTTTTTAATATTTTAAATATCCTTTAACATTGATTTCTTCTTTTCGATTTCTTATTAATACATTTCAATATTCAATTTTATATATCTTTCATTTTATATATCCTTTATAAACTCTTTATATACCCTTTGATCTTCACTTTTTTATTTCTTATTGATATATTCCAATATTCAATTTTATATATCCTTTATAAATCCTTTATATATCCTTTGATCTTTTCTTTTTGATTTCTTATTAATGTATTTCAATATTCAATTTTATATATCCTTTATAAATCCTTTATATATCCTTTGATCTTTTCTTTATGATTTCTTATTAATGTATTTCAATATTCAATTTTATATATCCTTCATCTTATATATCCTTTATAAGTCCATTATATACCCTTTGATCTTTTCTTTTTGATTTCTTATTAATGTAATTCAATATTCAATTTTCTTCCTTCTTAATTTTAAAATTTTTTTATTACTAATTGTTGTTATCTTGGATTTTGATTTTGCACAAAAAGATTACACAATTCCTTCCATTCCAAAAAATTATTTAAATCACTAATTGATATGAAATTTTAAATGATTATACTTTGAGGTTTAAGAAAACGATTTTGCTGGTAACAAAAAAAATAGAAATGATGGAAAATATAATTTTACGAAAGCAACATTACCAGCCAACAATGTTTCATTCATTTGTATTGCTTTTTATTTTATTCATTGCAAAAACTTCAGAGGCAGTTCCCGAAATTCAAACTTATCGGATGCGTAAGCTTTTATTGATAATTATTGATAATTCATTGATACCTTTTATTGATAATTTATTTGCCGTTTTACTAGGATTATCTATTTCATACATTCAAAATTAGCATTTTAAAAGCAGTTAGTAGACAATAGACTGACTGAAAAATGACCCGGTTCATTTGCCGGTTTACTTATCGATCAATATATTGTCCACTAATTGCTTTTAAATGCTAATTTTGATTGGATGATAATTTTTTAATTATAATAAAATTTCAATTAAAACAAAAAGCATTTTATTTTGCCAAAAAAAGAAAAGCCACTATCATTTTACACAAATTTAACGAAACGTATTTAAGAGTTGTAAAATGGTAAAGTTAAGAAATCTTTGAAATACTATTTAGAGCCGATCTATCTATTTGGGATCTCATTAATAGATTTCCTATTAAAAACCAATAAGAGACAATTAATGTGAAATGTAATTAATTAAATAACATGCAAAACTTTTTTTCTTTCCTCTCTCTCTCTCTCTCTCTCTTCTATTCTTTTGTCTCTTATTGTTAAGATTTTGTTTTAAATAATTTCAAAAATTAAATTGTTAGATGAAAAATAATTTATTAATCCGAAATTATTTAATTATAATTCCAAAGATAATTAATTAATTTTAATATGATTAATTAATTTCAATTGTCTTAGTTAAGATTAAAATAAAAGCAATTCACTTAGCAGTATTGTAGCTGTAATTAATATATGGAAAAAAAGGATTTCATTTAAAAGTAATCTAAACAATTTGCAGAAAATAAATTGTTAGAAGAAACACAATTTAGTAATCCGAAATCATTTGATTATAATTTCGAAGATGATTTAAAGAAGTATGCTGACAAAAACGATGTATACGATGAATTAGTACCACATTTGCCATCATTTACTTTACATAAAAATGGCAAATATGCTGGACGAACAAGTGTATGTTTCTTTTGAAATTAAATTAATTAGCATAATTAGTAAGCATTATAGAATAGATATGATTAATTACATCTACTTATTGATAATACATCTCATTGATATTGATATATATATATTGGTACTTACTAATATTCATATATATATTGATACTTATTGATATTATCTTATTGATACTGCTACATATATTGATACTTATTGATATTATATCATATTTGATATTGATATATATAGTGATACTTACTGATATTATATTTTGTTGATATTGATATACATATTGATAGTTGTTGAATCTTATTGATATTGATATATATTGATACTTATTGATATTATATCTTATTGATATTGATATACATATTGATACTTATTGATATTATATCTTATTGATATTGATATATATATTGATACTTATTGATATTATATCTTACTGATATTGATATACATATTGAAACTTAATGATATTATACTAATATTAAATTAATATTATAGTAAACACTTATTTATTTGTATGATAATAATAATAATAATAAAATAAAACAGCAAAATTAAGTTGAAATGAATAATTTTCAGGTACCAATTATTACACGTAAAATGCCAAGTTGGTCAACACCATCACCGAGACAAAAATTTGTTGAACCTTATAAGCCATTCTCAATTAAATTATGGAATAATGCTCAACAATCTCTACAAAAGCCAACAGCAGCATTATTTACTAAATCACCAATTAGCCAAAGGTCAATTGGTGTTTCTTTTTGAAATTATCTTTAAAAAATTTGAAACAATTTTCTTTCAATGAAAATTTATTATTTAAAATTTTGTTAAACGAAATTAAAAATTTATACAAAAAAGAAAATTAATTAATTGATAACGAAGGTAAACAATCAATCAATAGTTTCTAATTAATTTTTGTTATGCTCGAAATTCTTTACGGAAAGTATGTTATTACATAAAGCTGAAATATTTTACCGTAATAAAGTCAGTGCATGAGAAAATAACAATTATCAACTATTCGTGGTCATTTATTTAGACAATCATTTTGCACTCATATGGATTATTCAGGTTGTTTATTTATGATACAATTATATCAATTTTGATATTCACAATCTTATATAATAAAAGTCATAAATGATAATCGGATAATAACAATCATTATTTCTATCGTTATTATTTCCGAATTTATAGAATGATAAAATCAATGATTTAAAATTGATAACTCAAAAAATGGTAGGCCTAGTTAATCATGATCTTTAAAGATCTACATTTCAGTTACAATGATATCACATTCTCTCTTAAAAAAAAATTTAGTCTAAATTGCTTGCAAGATCAAAAGAATAATTGATTGCTTATGAAGTCAAAAATTGTTATATATATAATATTTGATTAAATTTCATGAGAAATTTCAATAAAGTGTTTAATTAGATCGGTTTGCTAAAACAATAAATGCTATGCTGCTTGTTGGACAGCATGATGTAAAGTATTGCTTAAACAATTTTAGGTTAACGACAACTAGAGCACGAATTCCTAAAACACGAACTACAACAGCACGAACTACTACTAGAGCACGAAGTAGTACTACAAGATTTCGAACATTTTTGCAACAACAACAACAACAACGACACCAACAGAAGCAGAAGCAGCAACGTCGACTACAGAAACAACGAGAGCACAATACTAGGCAATCATCTTGATTTTTGTTAACAATTATTATTTGCATTAATACTGTTAAAAATAGCAATGAGAGGGCAGTGATATCAGTAAATATTCTACATTCAATAGCATAGATTAAATGTAACAATGACAGCAGCAACAATAGCAATAACAATAATAGTAGGAGCAACAATAAGCAATTACCATAATTTATAGAAATTATGCAAAAAAAGAGTTTTCTTTTGTCTTATTGCTTAATTTATAAATATTATTAATTATCAATAATATTATTAATTAATCTGCTACAAGGCATCGTTCATCGATCGCACTTTCTGCACTATGTTATTTTGGAGGTATTCAAAAAATTCATTGAAAATACCAATGAAAAACTTCCAACACTTTCATTGATTGCTAATTGAGTTCAGTGTACAGCTAAAGTTTGGTAGATTGGAAATGAAAATTTTACCATGGTATTTTCTTTTTCGCATGACAATGATTTTTGTTATATTCTTCATCCCACTATAAATTTGAATGATATATAATATTAATAATGATAACAGTAATAATAATGATAATAATAATAAAAATAATAATAACAGTAATAAATAATAATAATAACAATAATAATAATAGTAATAATAATAGATAATAATAATAATAATAATAATAGATAATAATAATGATAATAGCAATAATAATAAACAATTAAAAATAAAAAATTAATAATAATAAATATTATTAATTGTTTTATATAATAAATGAAATCTTATGATTTTTTAACCTTATGAACTTTCATCAACTTACGTTTTTTATATAAATGACAAAGCAAATTTGTAAAATCGTAGTATTATCGATTACTATTTAAATTATCTATTACCTATTATACAACATTCAAATTCACAGTGAGATAAAGAGTATTATCTATTACTATTATCTATTTAAAAGAGTCTCAAATTTTCCAATAGTCAATAGAAGTAGATTTGAATATTTTTTTCAATATTTCATTCCGACTATTGGCATACTGCAAAAAAAATAATTTATAAAAGATTGAAGATGGATAATTTCAACAAATTTCTACATTGTAGTTAATCAAATTTATCAGAATACACTTATCATATTATTATAGCAGAATATTTGATTAGCAAAAATAATAACAATAATTGAAGAAGGAAGAAAGATTGAGAAATTTTCGAAATTTATATCAAATTGAAATATCATTTAATACATTGTATCAATCGTTTCGTTCTATTTTTTTATTGACAGATATTTTTTATTTTCAACTATAGGATTGAAATACCTTAACGTTATTAACCTTTTTTTACTACTCTTATTTTAAAAGTGATCGTAAAATGGATC